TTTTTTTTTTTTTTTGAACAATTGTAGGAGAAGTTCTCGCTGCCTGACTACGTCAAGGCTTTGCACCAGAGTGCCCGCCAGTTGATTTCCCACTGGCTCGCGTTTGCCGAGAATCTCGGCGTCGACTTCTCCAGCAAGGAGAAGCTCGAGGCGTCGCTGGGCTTCCTCGAAGGGCCCAAGAGGGATGTTGTCGTTTCCAGCTACGACGAGATCGTCGTCAAGAACAGTGAGTTTAAGCAACTCCTTCGAGTACACCTGGGATGCAGTGCTGTGGGGGACAAGCGTGTGCTGACCGACGACACAAAAACTGCAGCCCCTATCCGTGCCTCTCCCGAGACATGGACCAAGGACCTATGCTTTGTCTCGCATATGTTCCAGGTTCCGTGGGCCGAGGACGCTCTCTACCAAGGCCAGTAGGTCTTTTCATGGGCATCTGGTGTCGGTATTCTTTCCCCTTGGCTCTTTCCAATAATTTGAGAAACACGAAGGGAACAAGGCTGCCAAGAGGGGAAGAGTGAAGACAAAAGACAAAAGACAAAAAAAAAACCACGGTCTCATAACGGATAGGGCAACAGCACTAGGGATTTTATGGGATGCATGGATGGCGCAGCTGGGTCACGCAAACACATGGGCATTAATTTGGGCGTCTGGCGTTCTCGAGTCACCAGCGGTCGCAGCCAATAATTTGACATGGGCGGGATTGGAGATGAAGAGGAGGCACACGGCTGTTCGCCCAAGGAGAAGAGGACACTCGCCGGGAGGAAGAGAGCAAAGGGGACCGTCCTGTGACGGTGGAGGTATGTCAGGTTTCAGATCATGGGTTTCTTGGCTTAGGTATCCAGAATCATATTTCCTATTTCCCTCACCAGGTCTTTTCTGTCTTGGTGGCTGTTACGGGCTGTAGCAAGGATGCGACGGTGCTTGCAGGTAAACGAGGCTGAGATAGGTGAATGGGGATTGGCAGGGTATGTGGGTAGCCAACTACCTCGATGTCTGGTGATATTTCTGTTTGCGTTTTCCACGTCCTGAGGGAAGAAGCAAGGCCCAGATTGAGAGCTTATGTGAGGGTATGCGTGCTGTGCGTTTATGGCTGCCACCCTTTTCCAGACCCACCAACCCATCAGCGGTCGCCCCACGGCTTGATGCATCGCTGGGTTTTCTCTGCCCGCGTTGTGTCACGATCTTACAGAGTGAAAGCAAGGTGATCATGTTGAATCGCCGGCGGCGGTACGTGGTTGCTAGCTGTGATGTCAAGGCCGAACACGGCGCCAGACCCCAGGTCTCATAATCCCGTCGTGGATCTCGTCCTCAGAGGCCTTACTATCGTTTTCGTGAATCACCGAGACCAGCCGCAGTTTAACGAGACGGAAAAGCAAGCCTCAAACTGCGTCTCACAAACCACCCTTGCGTCCGCTCTCACAGGCACACATCACTAGCTACAACAGCGGCCTTCAAGGAGGACATTCACATGCTCGCTCGACGCCACGGACTCAACTCAAGCCTGCCAAGCGAGACGAGGAGCCCACTGATCCTGTGCCCGGAGTCGAACAGAGGCAACCTCTGGGGAGTCGTGTGTGAAATTCGGATCACTGTTGCGTCCCTGTGCTGGCAGCCGAGACGAAAAGGTGGGGGGGATGGGGATTGGGCCTCGAGGGCGAATCGCAAATGGCACGTGCGTGGGATAGAGGGATTGGTGGTGCGGGTAGGGTGACGTCTTGGTTTTTTTTCGGTCCCCGAGAAACCCAGCTGGCAGTCGACGCTAAATTCTCCCGACGCCCCCCGAAGCTTATTCTTGCGAGGTTCTGGCCTGGGGCAGCTCGGCCCCATCGGATGTCCCAAAAGCTACCATCCCTGCCCGCCTGTAGGTGCAAGCGTGGTTGGTGGTTGGTGGTGGTGCCGCTGCTGCTCGTCAGCCAGCTAGCCTCGTCGTGCTTATGTGGGATTACCACATGCACACGCTCTTTTATTCCTTTTCCCTCAGCAGCCGCCGTCTTGAGGGGTTTTGGAGGGAAATCGCAAATAGTAAAGCGCAGAGGCCGCGATTAAAATGGGGTGAGTCGTGTTCTAGCGTGTCTTGTAGCTGGGAAGGTCGGGTGTTTTGGCTTGTGAAAGTGGCAGAAAGACAAGATGCGACACGTCTCACAGCCCGGGAAAGGATTCGGTGCATCAGCGTTGTTGCCGGTCCCCCTCCCTTTCCCCAAGTTTCCCGTTCATTGCCTCGTGCCCGCAGTTGGTGGTGTGCATTCGTAACCCAAGAAAAATGCTTGACCTGGTGTTTTATTTAAACGTGCCGCCCTCTCGCCCCGTTCTCTCCCCGGGGGCAGCATGTCCGAATTAGGGGAAGCAAAGGGAAAAAAGCATTTATACCGACTGGTGGCTCACTCACCCTCACCACCATTAACCGGCCATACAGCTCCCCTCGTCTTGCCTCTTACGCCTCCGTGGCCCTAATCAGCGTGCTCGCACCTCTCCCAACACGGCTCCGACGGACGACTGGCAGCTAAAACAAGGCCCAGCTTCAGCCTGTCGCTGCGCAGCGGGCCGAGGTCCCTCCGCACTACGGATATCCCCAATATAAACCGCCTGTCCGCCCGCAAACGTGCCCCCCTCCCTGGTGACGGCTGTTTGTCCGCGTCAGTCCGGAGGCGCAAAGTTTTGAGACGCAATCAATAAAAAGCCAGCTCTCGAGGCTCTTTTTTTCTTCTTTTCCGCCTGCGAAAATGGTGGCCGATTACAACCACGCCGTCCTCGCCCGCCTGAGGATCGCCCTGACGAAGTGGGAGTGGGTCTTCTCGCACAACCCCTTGCCTTTTATTGGCTTACCTCACTTATACCTTCCTATCTTTGAAGCTACCTCATTCAGCACACCGTGCTTTTATCAGCGCTGTTATCAGCGCACTTCACGTCGTGTAACCCAGACTAACGTTTTTTGGCTCTGCGACGCCACGGGCCCGCAGGGTGAGAGAGAAGGAGTTTGCTGCCACGCAGCCGCGGGTTCACCGGCGCAGGAGCAGCAGGGTGATTGCCATCCCCGACGCTGACGGCGGCAGGAGCACCCAGTTCACCAGGCAGAAGGTGGTCAAGGTGCTGCTTTAGAGGGCTTCTTTTCGGGATACTCGTTCTCCCACCAAGATTTTGTCACCTGCTTTTTCTTGCTCGACTTGTCTTTCTTTCCCTTTTTTTCTGCCAAAAAGGGAACATAGGTACCTTGCTGTGCGCAAAAGCATTACAGCCCCCCGTCTCTCGTCTCGACAAGCAAAGAAGCCCGCGGTCATGTCTCCGCACAAGGTCGAAGACTTGGACGTGGCGTCTTCCAAGCCGTCGTCGTCCGGCAGGAACTGGATTATGGGCGCCGAGGCCTTTGAGAGGAGGATGCCGCACCACGACGGGATCAAGGCGCTGTGGGAGACCAAGTGGAAGTTCCCAGTAAGTCCTTATCTCCCTTTTTTGACTTTTTCTTTGGTTTCGTCGGTCGGGCTCTGGAGAGGTTCTTTTGTATAGCGCGGGGCTAGCGAGGGCTCTCTGGGTGTATAGGGGCTATTTCATGGATCCAGAACAAGCACAATCGATGACATATTTTATTCTCACCACCTGAGCTACTGCCCATCGTGATCCTCGCCCCCTACTAACCAAACCAACCCACCCAAACAGTGCTCCAAGGGCCTTTACCCGTTCCACGACGGGCAGTACGAGGACTTCGAGCCCATCTTCGCGCACCTGATCGCCAATGACATCAATGACGGCAACTCGCCCGAGTACACCGAGGCCTTCTTCGCCACAGCCGAGGCCCTGACGTCGAGCGCTGACGCCGTCGTCGCCGCCGCCGCCGCCTCGGGGGAGTACCGCGCCCCCGCCGCCGCCACGGCGCTATACCTGCGCGCGTGCGCCGTCTACCGCATCGCGCGCTTCCCCTACGTCCCGTCCTGGCAGCACGTATGCTGCCCCGTCAAGTTGCGCGCGTGGGAGGCGCAAAAGGAGACGTACAAGCGATGCGGGCGAGCCTGGGACGAGCCGCTGCTGGAGGTGCTGGTGCCACACACGCACCGCGCTGGCGCCGACAAGGAAGCCCTCCTCGTCTATGTGCGTGTGCCACGCAGGACTGCGGCTAGCGGCGAGCCGTGCCCGGCCGTGATACTCATGACAGGGCTGGACGGGTATCGGCCCGACAGTAAGTGAAAGCCCTAGTGTTCTTTTTTTGACTTTTTATCCCGATGATGCGTATATGTGTGTGTGCGTTGCGCGTGGAACTTGTCCGCACACAAGACCAACACTAAACAACGCTAGATACGGTCCGATGCGAAGAGTTCCTCAAGCGAGGCTGGGCCGTCGTGGTGGTGGAGATTCCCGGCACGGCCGACTGCCCTGCCGACGCCGCCGACCCAGAGAGCCCCGATCGGCTCTGGGCTAGCCTGCTGGACTATATGGGCGCCGTCGGCTTCTTAGACATGGCCAAGATCATGGTGTGGGGTTTGAGTTCGGGCGGCTACTACGCCGTCCGCGCCGCGCACACGCACCGCGAACAGCTCCTCGGCTGCGTGGCCCAGGGCGCGGGCTGCCACTATTTTTACGACGGCGAGTGGCTGGACCGGGCCGACGGCCACGAATATCCTTTCAAGTGGGTTCTCTTCCTTCCCCCCCCCCTCTCTCTCTCTCCTCGTCGTCGT